CCGTCCTCTGCTGCTCACAGTTACACTAGCTGCTAACAATTAAAATACAGTTTAATTCAATTTTGCTCCTATTTGAAAGGGAAAGTCCACCATTTTTTCAAAATGTCTGCATAACTGAATCATTAAAATGTAACCAAAGTTATTCAGAGTGGTTTGATGTGAAATGCTTCATTGAAAAGAAACTAACAGAGGCATTATTATTAACAGTGGTGGTGATAGGAACCAGACGTCTGCCTCTAAAGGCATGATTTAAGGTTTTGGCCTGTTTTCTTACTTGCATAGATCTTTTTTATATTATTTATATGATGAAGAGGTACATGCAGGGTGTTCTAAGGCAAAATAGTTCTCAAAGAAAACATAATTCTCACGGATTTATGATGATTGAGACCCCTGGTTCCTCTGGTTTTTCTAGAAGGAGCCATTTCACTCATCAAACCAATCTGACTGACAAGAAGAAATTTGGTGGAATTTCCCTTTTGGTTAGGTTTTTTTTACAGTCACCTCTCAAAGAGTGACGCTTCACAACTTACTGAACTAAATATGCTCAAATCTGGTCGTGTTATGTTTTTTGAGGGGGATTTTTTATCCCAAATTTGTCCCCAATTTAGTCATAATTTCATCTGCTAGTTAAGTCTCCTCCAATCATGCAATGCTACCGAGCTGGGAGAGTGAAGGTTTGTACACGCTCTCTGAAACTCTCAAACGGCTACCTGAAAACACTCCTGCTTAGTGGACATCAATTATTTTAATGTTCAGAATGTGAGGCAGCTGCCTGGAGGAGCCCATGGCTGCTGATTGTTGGGACGAGGTTTGAGGAGTCAGTGCATTTTTTTAGAGGCACTTAATAATCTGATAACTGCAGAACATTTTTGTCAGATTTTGTCAGTAATCCGATGAACGCATTTATATACACTTGAGTAATCAGGTAATGTAAAAACTCTGGGTCTACATGAGTCAGACAGTAATCGGATTTCTTTGCAACCAGCCAATAAAACTCACAGAAGACACAACTTTACCTGAAAATATTAATATACATCATCTAGACAATGAAGAATATTTAAATCCTTAATTTCGTCAAGCATGTATTTGGTTTCAGCGTCGCTCCAAAAGTGTTTTGCTGCATCTCACTGCGACGCTGCTGCTTATTTCCGGTACAGCAGTCTGTTTTCGCACATGCACAGACTGACAACTCCGAAAGAAATCAGAGTAAGAGCATACGTGCATTGAGAAATCTGATTACCGATCTAAAATCCAGCTCTCTTCATCAGATTTCCAGACCTTAATCCAATCGAAGAAATCAGATTATTCATTATTCAAATGGTCATGTAAAAAGGAATAATCAGATAACTGCAGAAATCTGATTATGATCGGATTTTTGAGTACATTCATTTACAAAGCTTTGAAATTCGTATCATTTGGCCTTCCTAACCATGACTACGAACTAACCACAGCCCTAACTAGCTAACTAAGGCCTGAGACCTTGGAAAGTATTCTGAGAGCTCAAATCTCTTGACAGTAACACATTTTGACCAAACTTTGCATGCTGCTGTACTTGTTACTCTGCAGTGTATGGAGGTTGCTATTTACAGGCTCCCTATAAGTGGTCTTTTTATGATACCCACCCCTAGCGCCCACCCAGAGGCAAGACAGGAGGAGACACGAGGCTGAAAATGTAGTTATTTATTGGAGCGCTGACAGCTATTGATTTAACGACAGACGACAATGATTGAAAAGAAGAAAAAAAAAACAAGCATACCTGAGGAGAGTGACTATAGTGTGATTTACCAACAAAGAGAACAACAGATAAACAGTATCATATTACATAATGATTGAGAGCGTTTGGTGAACCTTACAGACGAATAACATTCCCCATCACAGTGGCTGGATCTTCCTCTACATCACAACAGAAAGATTAGCTGTGTTGCACTTGTAAACATGTAAACTGCATTAATCATTCAGCATTGAAAACATATGATTACCCTCGTTCCTCATTAACAATAACATAAGATTAGATGTCCTTTGATTAAGATTATAAGCTTAATCTTTTCCTACCGTAAAGTATGTCAGCATTAAGGATAGATACAAACACATAAACAAGACTGATTTCAATGGATTGTCAGGCATGTTGCTAAGAGGAGGACGGTGTATCAGATCAGTGGTGGATGGCGAGGGCAATGTACAAGTGTGTGTGTGTGAAGGGTGGTCTTGCCCCATAAAATGATCATGTAAAACCCTCTTACATGATTTTGGTAATGTTTTCAATCTTCACTGACACACTTCCACCTTCCTGTACTGCACTCTTACGAAGCTAGTGTTGCTTAATAATGTCGCTTTATGACAATTTGCCTCGAGCCACATAGATCAACTCAAACTATGAGGTAAAAAAAAGACAGAGGCAGAAAGAGGCCTGTCACAATTATTACATAATCACCTGTTCGCAGTTATTTGAGCTGTTAATCGCAATTTCCACAGTTTTTCACAATCATATTTAAAGAAGGTGTTTTCATCAGCTGGACTAAAACAAATGCATGTAAATAAAAGAAAGCAGCAAATGGATTTACCGAGACACGTCTTGGGTCTTTTACAAAAACAGAAGCTCTAACTGACTGGTGCTAATCACCTCTAGAGGGCAGTGCTGAGTTATGTTTGTTTATTTGAGCTCAAACTGTATTGGTCGTCAGCAGGAAGCTACTGAACAGCTCCCGTTTACGCGAAGGCTTGCGCTTAACAGTTGCGTACCATAAACAAAGAGAATAAAACTGTGGATTGCAATTAATCTCCAGTTCAAATTTTGTGATTGTGACAGGCGGAAAGATCCCAATGAAAAAATGATAAGCAGCATGAAGATTCGGTTACATATTTCTTTCAGATTTTTATCCTATTGGAAAGGCTACATGTAGATCAAAAAATAAAGAAAAACCTTTCACATCCATACAAAACACATAAATGTATTCATGTAATTAATAACGACACAATGCAGATTTGACAAAATAAAGCGCTCAAATGCTCCGCCCACAAATACATTCTGTTCTAACTACTGTTGCTAGGTTAGACAAGCAGTACGGAACGTTCTCATTCAACTCAATGAGAAACTATATTGACCAAAAAGAGGGCATTTTTCATTTTAAATGATATTTATTTAGTGTGCATCAGTATCATACTGTTAGATTGTCTTTTGTGTGTGTAATTGAGCACAAATACTATTTATATGGTGGAGAGATACATGCAGGGTGTTCTAAGGCAAAACAGTTCTCAAAGAAAACAATTTTTCAGATTTATGACTATGGCGACTGCTGGTTCCTATCACCATCAGTGTAAAGAAATCAGTGACGGTGAGTTTCTCTACAGTGAACCAATTCACTCATCAAATCACTCTGAATGAGTGTTTACATTTTGACGACTGAATGGTGCAGAAATTTTGAAAAATCGGTGTAAGTCCCCTTCGGGTAGGTTTTTTTAAAAAAAAATTTTAACCTTTTCAACTCCTTGAGACCACCGGTGGTTCCAAAACGCACTTCGTCATATTCTTCATAACTTTCATATTTCATAAGCTACATTCAAAAGGTGGGGGTCGTATGAGAGCTGTAACTCTTCTTTCCAGTCAAGTAGATGGGTAATGTAATTTTAAAACTTTATAATAGAAGAAGCTGAACTCTCTTTTTTTGTCTACTGAAGTTTGACCCATATTCCACAAATCTGGGCTATAAACTATAAACAGATGGCGTCTCTTCAGTGATCTGCTCTGTAAAAGTTATTTTTATTAAATAATTCAAAGAGCATCTAAGATTTTTGGCTTTCTGCAATAAACTGTAAGCATATAGCAGTATGTGTATGATCATAAAACACGTTCTGTTAATTTGAAGGGAGCTTTTAAATTAAAAATCAAAAACATCAGTAAAGATTTACAGTTATTTCATGCAGTTACTGAATAATTTGCCTTACAATTTGGTCATGTAAATTCAGATGGACAAACCAAAATATACCCTGGTCAATAAGAGGTTAAACACATTCATGGTGGATATTCTGTTGCCAAAATCTCTAGCCACTTTAAATAAAGCGGTCTTTCCTAGAGCTGCAACGATGGTCTAACCTGGTAACAGTTGCTATGAAACAATGCGTTTGTGGGCGGGTCAGGTTTTCAAACATGTCTGTATTTCACTATAGTGTAAACAGCAGTTCCTCCAGTCACATTTAGGTATTTAGTCTATTTCATTCTTTTTTTTAATTCTTAATTGTATCAAAATAATCAAATTCAATGCACTGTTAGATTTCTCTATAGACTTCCTATAGACTCAGAATCACTACTGAATCAGATTGTGAGGTCAGAGATTTATGCCCCTGCAACTAGAAACATAATGTAAGTCGACACGGCCCAAGTTCTTATTCGGTTGGGATTTTTGCCAGCGTTCCATAAACCTCGTCCAGCCTGGCAACAGTAGCTACAAAACAACACTTTTCCGGGCGGAGCACAGACAGATCAACTGAGGAAGAGAGAGAAGAATCGCTGTCAGAATATCCTGTGTCTAAACAGCATCATGAGACATAATGTGAACCCATATCCCACCAGATACCTTTCCCCAACCGTAGATTTGGAGCACGCTGCAGCAACAAGCAAGTACATGGTTGGAGTATCTGTTAACTAGATGATCTCAAAGCTCAATGAAAGCTGGATTTACATATTCATACATACAGCATTAAACAAGCGTCAACGTGATTTACTTAAAGCAGCCCTGACTGAAAGCTATAAGCCATTTAATTCGCTTCTTTCTCCATTTTACAATCAAATTCACCCAATTTCTTTTTTGTTCTTTTGCAAACTGCATAAACACAGCCATATTTGATGAGTTTGTTTGTGCTGTCTTTGACCACCAAATGGCTGTGAGCAGTATATCTATCTCTCTCTCTAAGCTGTGGTAGTAGAGTATGTCTCAATGCGCTCTTACTTTAACGTTCAGTTAGTTTCCTACTGCAGCTTTGCCAAAGCTCAGTCTTTGGTTTTCCTCATGCAAAAAGCATCCGCAGCCATGCACTCAGCCCGCCTTTGCCTACCTGCCGTACTAAACCAGATGTTGCTGGAAAAGATTAAGTAAATAACTATTATTCAGCTTGATTCACTTCTTTAGTCTTAAAGGCGCTATGTACGAGAGATATCCGGCGGCTTCCAAGTGCTTAAATGCTGTCAAGTCTTTTTCCCCCCCATTACAGTGATTTGTTTGGCTACACTGTGACTAACAAAGGCCAACAACAGTGCCTTAATCAACAGCTATGCAGTATGGCTGTTATCCCTAACTATAAAATAAATAAATATATACAAAAAACAAAAAATCTATTAAAAAAACAAAATGGGGGCACAAAAATAATCATAAAAAAAATATTAAAATGATTTCAAAAGATGGCTAGAGCAATGAGTGACTCACTGCCTTGTGGCAAAGTAAAATAAGAGGACCAAGACATTGAGAAAGGAGAAAATACCACAAAATTAAAACAGGAAAATAAGACCGAGAGGCAAAAACAAAAACAAACCTAAACGACAAAACAGTAGAGCTGGCCCCAACGGCATTTTGCACACTTTGAACACTCGGTTTTTTCCGAATGATTACTTGAAAATCACCCTTACAAGAAATATTTACATCGCATAATTACCTAGAACTTTAATTTCGTTCATTTTTTTATTCAAAAATGATTCGTTTTCGAATGGTAACAGTTACACATTCACACATCCTTTTTTAAGATGAACGTCCCAAAGACACAGAGACCGATGTGCTGTAACATGATGTCTGATACACAAAGGAAGATGACTGGACTTTTGCTTACAGATCGCAGTGATGATACAGTAGTTGCTGTGATGATAAACAGTCAATTTACCTGGATAGCCGAACTAAATTAGTGATCCAAGTTCGATTCAATCACAAGTGAAATAGCTTAGATGAACATTAATCTTGTTCAGGATTGAGGTTGCAAATTATTTCAATGTTCTCTACTAAATTCGCCACTTAACGCCACTCACAACCTACGAATCAGCTAAACAGGCTAGCTGGCCAGCCTGCAGAGCCTGTTTCTTGGCTCCGGCTAAACAAGTGACCTTGGCTTTGCCTGAATGTTCAGGTAAATGGCATGAATAACATGAATTTCTCTTTGTTTAAACACTGTTTGCCTTTATAATATCTTTTATTAACTTATCTTGCTTCAGTTGGTTGAAGGCCAAGGGTGACACTCTGAAATCATAAGGGGGGGACGGGGCAGACTGTGTTCAGCCTTTAGCTAACATTATGTGTATGACATCAGGTTTTACAGTCTAATATCATTACCATCATTCAGTATTGACCATTTTTCCAGGTTTAATGATAAAATGCTTTGTTTAAGACAGTGATAAATACATCTCTACAGGCCTAATCACACCAATTTTATAGACAAAAATAAAAACCATAAATGAAAAAGATTTAAGAATGAACGCACATATATTAACGCCGTCTTTCACACCGAGTCCAAAACTGACTGACTGCGACGTCGCAGACAAAATTTTAATCCTCGATTACTGCAACCATCGATTTACTGCAACCAATCAGAGCCCTGTTGTCATGGTTGCAGTCTAAACAAATGGCAGCAGAACATTTACATTTATGGCATTTGGCAGACGCTCTTATCCAGAGCAGCTTACAATTTTTCACCATTTTTACACAGGTAGGCAAAGGTAGTGTTGGGAGTCTTGCCCAAGGACTCTTATAGGTATAGTGCAGTGTATTTACTCAGACAGGGGATTGAACCCCAGTCTACAGCGTAGAAGGCAGAGGTGTTACTCAGTACACCATACAAACCACAGAACAGCTCATCTTGCTCAGAGCTGACTATAAAAATGCAAATGCTAAAGAAACTACATGTAGGACCTGAGGTGAAAGGCTGCAAATGGCGGTGAGTACAACACAATGACTGGTTATAGCATTCATAAAAACAATGCCAAATTCATCGCTGCTACTATTTGAGGAATCCATTTTTCCTTCCTCTTCCATCTTTCTCCAGATTTCCCATAAAAACTTATGTTTTTGTCAGAAAAAAACGTACTTGGTGTGAATAGGCCTTGACTCTTTACTGTTGGGACTCCAGGAGAAGGTCTGCTGGGGTCTAAAGGACTACTAAAAAATGAAGTTTCTGAATACTAGATAATGAAACAACTACCAACATAAGGAAAGAATCCTCAAGTATTCAAATGATTGGGGCCAGCCCTACAAATAAAAAAAACAACCAAGAGACTCAGTAAGGATGGAACAGACAGAAGGATATTCAGGGGAATGAAAAGATGAGTCCGGGTAAAAACACGCACACATACAACCTTCCTCCCTCTCACACATGACTCGCACAGTGACTTTTGTAAAACAGTATATTTGAGCTTCCAGCATAGAAGAAAAAAAAATCGATCCTTATTTCTTTCTGCTTCCATCCATCACTGTAGCATTGAGGCATCTGTGAAGCAAGCATGCTCCTTTCTTTCCTTCTCCCTTCACTGAAAGCGACAGAGTGAGGGATCCAGCTGGAAAAGGCAGCGATGCTGAGAGTTCATTGTGCGGGATGTGCTCCGTTCCAGCAGGGGGCTCCACCTGCCTGCAGTCCTTATATTCGCCCTGATCCAGTCAGTCTTCTCACTCCTTCTTCACCTGAGGTCCGTCCTTCTCTCTACTTCTCGGGGGCTTTCCGTTCCAGTGGCGATGGCACGCCAGCTCCATCATCTCAACCCCGCCCATGACCTTCTGCTGAACCAGGAAGAATGCCACCACCAGCAGAAAGTACATTCGCAGAGGTGCCCACAACCAGAGGCCGACGAAGGACAAGGTTATGAACAGGGTCCAGTAGCAGAGGGACGCAGCTTTGACCAGTGTCACCCTCAGCTCGCTCTTGCAGGGCGGCACCCGGGCCTCGGGGTCATCGAACAGCCGTGGCGACGCCCCGTAAAACTCCCGCAGCCGTCGCTCCTTCTCTGCCCAGCGATCCTGGCACCAGGCCTGCAGGAGATCGGATTGCTCGGGCAGGGTGGACAGCGGGTAGCGCCGCACGTGGAAGTGGATCTCGCGCGGGAAGAGGCCCAGCACTAGGTGGCGCTCAGTCTGAGGGATGTTCTGCGGGTACGCCACGGTGACGTCGTGGACCGCGTCCAGGTTGTTACCTGTGGAACAGACAGGGGAAAGCAGAGGTGGAGTTATTTCGGTGATCCACAAGTACATGCAGATACTTTGTACCTACTGTTGAATAATTAACTACTGCTATAATTAACGACACAACTTTACAAAAAATTATTTAACATTTAAAATAAAAAAAAATCCTGAGAGCCTCGAGACTAAATCTTTAGCATTAGTTAGAGTCGCTAAGTTAGTCTAGTCGGCTATAGTAGCCTTAACCAACAGCAGTAGTGAATGGAATTAACACTGGCAATGTAAGCTTGCTGTGTCTAATGATTAGGTCATTAACCCTGGTGTGGTGTTGGGGTCTGTTAGACCCATTTTCAATGTTTACCAAAATAAAAAAAATTGTGATTTATTATTATTATTATTATTATTTCAACCCCAGATTCTTTGGCCTTGGCAGGGAATAAAAGTGTGGTGGTGCTTCACTCTGTTCTCCTCCTACATGGCCTGTTGTTAGTGTGTGTGTGTCTGTCTGTGTATGTGTTTGTATAGGTGTGTGTGTGTGTGGACGGACAACATGGATAGGCTGCTGACTGGCTATAGCTGCTAAAGGAAAACACTACGCTGACCACTTAGCTCAATCGGAATAGAAAAATCCACATGAACACTAGTCCGATTGAGGCCATTCGGAATACAATTTCTATCTGATGGAACGAGGTGGGTAATCCTGTAAATAATCTGTTAAATAGAAGAATAATATTCATGTAAACGCCCGTATCTGATTACATTCCCAATCTGAAAGTTTAAGTCCGTTCTGATCATGTGCGTCGCGTCATAGTGAAAGTTTATAATGTTCAACATGGCAGGAGCAGAAACTGGTCTGCAGAGGAGACGAAGTTTATGCTCTGAGCTTTAAAAGACGGCGGTGGGACGGACGTCCAGCTCATGAGTCTCAGAACACGACGTCTTCCTCTCGGCCTTCTTTAAAGAGCACACGCGAAGTACTTTTTCTGAGTCTGATGTTTTTAAAGCAATTAAAAAAAAAAACCCAAACGCGCCGAATGAAAACTCATCTCACTCAGACTGGACCTCACGTGACGTTCGCTGTCATGGTAACGTTTACTCTAAGTGGTACTCCAAGCATGTGCGTCATTTTGGATCAGACCACTTGTAGTGTGTATTTCAAAGATTTTCGATCAGACTGTTGAATAGAGTGAGCATATAAACACCTCAGTCTAAATCTGTAATCGGAATGTATTCAATCGGATTGGCAAAAATCTTTGCATGTAAACACAGCCACTGTGGACAAACCATTTCTCAGTGGTGAGTACATGTATTTTTCACGCTACTGTCTGAGTGTCTTTTACAGCCTTGCTGTCCATCAGACTACGTTGAGGACTGGCCCATCGAGCCCTACTTTGAGCTCTGCCTTAAAGTGTTGGATTAGTTTAGAAATTTCACTCTCATCTCTAATGATTTTGTTCCTACCTACATTTAGCCCTAGCTGTCCCCAAACTTTTGACAGGTATTGTAAACGTTACAATTTGCTGATACAAAGGCCAGAGGATGAGTCAAGTGCGTCCTAGTAGGCAATGTTACCAGAACAAACCCGCACTTCAGTATCTTGTAGCAAAGGCACGACAATGAGGACTCAATGAGTAATGGGTAAAAATGAGTGAGTATTCAAGCAATTTTAGATGCAGTCTTCCAAAAAAAGACCAGTGCACATTACTGTGTATTTCTGGCAGAGCACCTCAGAGCATGTCTTTAAATATAGCACATAATCTCCGCTAGCACACCGACACCATCATCACACTGCTTACATAAGAGAGAGCTGCCAGGCATACAATAGAGTCAGAGCATGACAAATGAGTTTAATGGATGACACATGCCTGGGCCCCCACGCACACTTACCCTGGTGCATAGCGGCCAAAAATAGAAAGACTGGATAGAGGGTGCGCATGCGCATGGCGGCATGGCATCAGCTCTTGGAACATATTCTAATGTGTGGGACATCAGAGAGGCTCATACACCTGTTTAGTGGCGCATTAGTGTAATACAGAGCCGTCTGCTTTAGACTCTTGGTGGGACGCCAGCTTTACCTCATTACACTGTGACAGCATGTGTGTGGAATCTGAAATGCCACCGTGCTCCATTAGCTACAACGTAAACCTCTGAGAATAATCTAGATTTGTGTGGCTTCTAAAACATGACCTGATGTTCACTACAGCCCTACTGGGTTGTTTCTGTGATTTTAATCCAGTATGAATCTGTAGTGTGTGTAGTTTTACAGTCTGACAGTAATAATTGTGAGTGATATTAATCCAGTATGAATCTGCAGTGTGTGTAGTTTTTACAGTCTGACAGTAATAATTGTGGAGCGATTTTAATCCAGTATGAATCTGCAGTGTGTGTAGTTTTACAGTCTGACAGTAATAATTGTGGAGCGATTTTAATCCAGTATGAATCTGCAGTGTGTGTAGTTTTACAGTCTGACAGTAATAATTGTGGAGCGATTTTAATCCAGTATGAATCTGCAGTGTGTGTAGTTTTACAGTCTGACAGCAGTAATGGCAGGTCGATTTTAATCCTGTATGAATCTGTAGTTTGTGTAGCTTTTACAGTCTGAAAGTAATAACTGAGGCCTGATTTAAACCCAGTATGAATCTGCAGTGTTTAATTCTCTTAGTCTGACAGCAGTAATTTTAGAGTGATTTTAATCCAGTATGAATCCGCAGTGATGGTAGCTTTACAGTCTGACAGCAATAAGTTTTAATCCAGTATAAACAGTGATGATGTTGGAGTGAATGGTCTTCTGTAATTGGCTGAATGCAGAGCTCCCTCAGTAACAGTAGTCAAGTTCCAACCCACTTCATACTAATGGAATAACAAACCCTGTTAATAGACACAACTGTGCAGTGTGTTTTGCTACTAAGTGGGTCCAGGGGTATAATGATCACAGACCTCTGGGCTATGATCTTTTAATCCAGGCCCTCTGTGGGAAGTTGGGGAAATTACAGATACTTTATCCTAAACCAATCAGCCTGGGCATGTTATAAAATCCCACACATTATAAAACCTCACCTGTTAAAACTAATCCAGCTCTTTTGGTCATAATAATAAATAAAGATAATAAAATTTAACGAACAAAAGACAGTTTATCTTCCTGTACCTTCACATTCTCTGTAGCTTTTTAGGACTATCTATACATTCCACAACACTACTGGAACAGAGAGATGAGATGCATTAGAACTTCCTGGTGAATTGAGAAGCATGGCATGGAGCATCATGGTGCACAGCTCCTTTGTGTCTGGACAGCTTGAAATCACTGAGCCAATTCCAAGCTGTATCAAGTTAGGACATCCGTCTGTGATCTAGAATCTAAAAATGTCAGCCAATTCAGAGTCTTGACCTCAATCCCACTGAGAAGCTATAGTGTGATCTGAAGCAGGTCCTTCAAAAGCAAAATAAAAATAAACAGGTTCCAAAGCAAAATGTAAATAAAATGAAACATTTTAACAGGAGGAATGGACCAAACTGTTTCTAATGGCTGTGCAGGACTCACTTGTAGGGTCTGGTTGGGGTTACGACCAATAAGAGGTTCCACTTAAATTAACTTGGCTGTTTAAAGCTATTCGATCATCATATTGCAGTGTAAAATGTAGTACGTTATAACAAATCCACAGTTGAGAGGACAGGAATCAAATGCTATCTGTACCATTTACTATTTATTTACTGCATTTTTTTCCAGTTTGTTGAACTCAACAATTAAATAGAAATTGTGCACCAAAATTAGCAGAATCATGGAATAATTAGGAGCGTTCTCAGAGGATGTGCTTATTGCCACTAAGAAAAATCCACAAAACATGATCTGAACTTTTGCATACAAATGTACATACAGTATGAGTTGGTGTGGGTGGCTGTGCTATTAAAAGCCTGTTGCAAAACTAAGGTACTGCAATTTGTAGCAGTTTCTAATTCTAATATATTAATATTAAATGTCATTTTGTATCGCTTAGCATTAGTGTATTAACATTACACAACATTTGGGGGATTTGGTTTCTAGCATAATCCTGTTTCGCAATGGCCTCACAACACCTTGTGTGTTACCTCTTCCTTATATACTGATATGCTGAAAACATAAATTAATACTGATTTACTTCAATAAGCATCATATAATTGCTTAACTAAGAGTTAAGAGTACATTTATTAATTATTTAAAATTTCACAAGAAGTGTTCATTTTAATTGACCACAATACAGCACCACAGTTGAGTACTGGCAACCGATTTAATTTTAGTCAATATTTAATTAATACTTCATAATAATTAGAATTTAATTATTGGACATCCAGCAAATCAGGTCGGTATACCATGAAAGCACGAAAAGTTTAATAAATCATCACAAAAACATACAGCGATACTTATCCAAGTACTGTAGCCTCCGACTCCGCTCTGTCCCTTAACCATTCAGGCCGGAATATCAACTTTCTACATCTATTCTCTGATTAAACAGTTTTACACCAAGTCTAAAACTTGACTGCACAAAAACGCAGATCAGTCTATTGCGATGAATACGTTTTATGGTTGTATCAGAAAAAGTCTCACTGTAAGTACAGTGCAGTAAACTACTACAGTATAACAGTTAATATAGTTCATAGTAATACAATTTAGAACGGTATAGAAAGAGGAAGCATGCGATTTGATATCTATGGAGTTTAGGCTTCAAGTGAAAAAACAGGCTTGCGTTTTAATAGACAGAAGATGTCTGTCCAGCACAGCCGATGGGGGCTGAAACACTGATTAAAATGGAAGCGTCTCTGTTCGGTAGGGCTGAATGATTTGGCAAAATGATCTAATAGCTATTTTTCTGACTACTGTTGTAACTGCTATTTAAATTGCAATGATTTTGTAGTCATTTGCATAAAATATCTGGCATTATGAGCTTAAGAGCTGTGTGAAATCTCTTCAGACAGATGTTTATTTGAAAAATGAAAAAGATACATGATCATAAATTCAGCACTTCAAAGAAAAATACTTAAGATGTTTTAGGCAAGCAGCCTCAGACTGATATTTTTGCTGAAGAAGGCCAGCTTATCCATTTATTTAGGCTTTTTGAATGCAGAACAGTGTGAGAAATTGACAGTTAGTTGGGGCTGTGTGGTGACGTGCACATTAAGTGGGTGTTTGGATGCTTCTGATTGGTCCGTCCATGTACAACTAATCAATGATTCATCTATAACCTGCACGGTGCATAATAATATGGATTACAGTGAAAACCTGTTAAAATGCAAAACAAATTAACACATATTGAAATTGTTATCAGACACAGTAAAGTTATTAATTATTAGTCAGCATATGGCCTCAAATTTCCTTTCTGTGCATCACTAACAAAAATAATTACGCGCAACATCACGCTATTGCATCAAGTTCGGGAACAGGGTGTTCAGTAAAACACTGTTTTGCATTGGTGAAGTTCCATTCTGACTGTCAGCTGTATGAACACAGAAGGAGCCCGACATGGATGGGTTTATTCCCAGGGCTGAAGGGATCAGGTGCAGCACATTTCCTTAATTAGAGGTGCCCTCTGAGACAGAGTAACCCAGCAGGAACAGAGCAGCTACGGCAAGGGAGGGAGCATCATCACTGCAGGTCACTGCAGATGGTTTTGCCTTCTTTTACTAATACAATAGTTCTTTTGTCTCCAGAAGCTTAAAAACCAAAAAAATAAATTAATAGTATGAACCTATTAAAAAATACTTGACAATTTTTTAATCTGCTGAGAAATTAAATTTACACAACACCAAAGAAAACAGTAGTTGTAGCCATCTTGAAGCCCGAGTCTAGATTTTTATAGATGTCACACAGTGTCAGGAACCACATAACCAAGTATTTATGGTTACTTAACTTCATACAATCTCAGCATTATTACATATTAAGGTTTATTATCCAGTAACTACATAGACTACAATGCAAACTGGCTAAGGCATATAATTAAATAATAAAAGTTTGGACCTGCTGACGGGTCCAGACCAGTTCACCCTGTTTGTGAATTATGAATATAAACTACAATATACCCACGGTTAACTGAAAATCCACTCGTTGCATCTTACTAATACTCAAGTATCAAAGTTAGAACACATCCCTACTTAGAAACACAGTGAAGTACAATGTTTAAATGAGCCCATGTGAAGCCTCTGACCTTTCCGAAGTGTGTCCACGATGAAGGTGAAGCCAGTCGTCCGTGGATGAAGCACGTACTCATACTTTGGGAGACCATTCTTTTCCGCAAACTCATCACTTCTGGCACGAGTGTTATCTACAGATGACAGATTTCATAGATTAGTACAAAAAAGTTAGGACAGCATGTAAAATAATACTAAAAAACAGAAAACAGTAACCAATGAAATCTGTTTGAGCTGCATTAAATTGAAAACAGTACAAAAACTGATTTCGTTTTACCTGTAGAACTTTGTTTTCTTTGTAAAAATATGCTCATTTCAGAACTGACGCCCCCCTAACATGTTCCAAAAACAGCGTGTTTACCTTCATCCTTTTAACAACACTTTGCAAAACATCCAGCCTTTGGCTTTACAAGTCTTCAGCTGTGCAGCTGTACAGACCCACCACACATTTTCAATGGAACACCGAATGCAGCTTGCTGTTGTCATGTTAAAATGAGCATGGATTTCCCTGAACAACATGTTTTCTATAAGGCAGCTTATGTTGCTTCAAAAAGTGCATCTCTCTTTAAGCGTTTATGGTGTCTTCCCAGATGCCACGGGTGCCACATACGTCCCCATACCATGACAGACTCGGGCTTTTGCACTTTATGCTGGTAACAATCTGGACTGCCCTTTCCTTTATTGGCCCAGGGAACAATATCCATTATTTCCTTAGACAATCTGAAAGGTTGACTCGTCAGACCACAACACGTTTCCACTGTGCATTCTCATTTTAGACGAGCTTGAGCCCAAAGAACTTCTGCTGTGCAAAGCATAGTCTTCCCTTACATTTTCAGCAATAAACAATGAGTTTGTCAAAGCACTCCTTAACCCATGTGGTGATATCTATCACAGAAGCATGCCGTTTTAGTAATGAAGCGCTGTCTGAGTGACTAAAGGTCACAGACTTTCAGCTGGGCCCTTGCCTTTTACACACAGAGGGTGCCCTCTAAATTCCACTTATGATATTATGCATACTTAAAATCCTTAAAATCTCTGCTGTCTCTCACTGAAGAACATTGTTCTTAAACTGCTGAATTATTTGCAGACATGTTTTTCGGCAAAGTGGCGAGACTCGAACCATCATTAAAACTTTGTACTTTCTGTTTAAAGAAAGTGTCAAAGTGGATTTACAAATCACTGCTTTCTGTCTCAAAGTGCTTTGGAATTGAGGTTTGTATTTGGATAACCAAAATAAATAAGTAAATGAATACAGATTTTGAATATCAGTTCATCTTTCTGTATTTTCTGGACTCCACAAATGTGTAACAAGCAAAAATCACACAATTGTAATTATTGTAATTATTGCAATAATCCTATTATTCGTCCATTAACCCTTAGCACTTCAGCCTGGTAGCACCAGCGATTTAATCTGCCAGGTGTCGTCAAAGGAAGTCGAGGCTGAGTGTATATCAATACCCTGCCCTATAAAGAGCTGCTGAGTGTCTTTCTTGTTCTGTCTGATAGAGGTCACGATGTTCACGCGCTGGTGCGCACACGTGTGCCCTTCTGTGTGTGTGCACCTAGACCCACTCTTGATCAGTAATTAGATCAGGCCTTTGTGATCCCCTGGGCTCCTACAGACAAGATTAAGCATCAAATCCCCTTCCTCCAAACTAGTGGGAGCAGGAGAGAGTGAGAGAGAAGCTAAGCCCACTAAAATGAAGACGTCACTGTTAAACAGGTATCAAAATCTCCTCTAAAGCCAGCTCTAATAAGGGGATTGGACAGACCTCCATGAAGAGAGGTATACTCCTCTCTTGCAGCTTCACCTTGCTGGTTTACAGAAAGAGACTGCAGCCCATCTGTTGATGCGCAGTTTGTATTAGCCATCCGTAGCCTTTAGTCAGTTTCTGCGGCTTTGTTGTCAGATTTTGCAGTGACTGTGACGAGTGAGGTCCTTCGGTGGTCCCTCTCCATTCATGAATGGGGTAGAGGGTGGCTAATTAATTGTGCAGCAACAGATGGGCTAGATAGCAGGGATAGGTATAAGACCAGTCAACACATCAATAGTCACATAGTTTACAAAGCCAGAAACCCACTAACAGTTTCAGGTAAGATCTGGGAGGTCAACTGAAACTGTCTGCGGCAGGCAGACCATTAGTTTGGAGTTCTATAAGCCTTTTTGAGGTTGCAGGATGACTAATCAAGAGAACTCCAAACGTACTGTATACAGTATAGCAACGTGTATAAAAATTGGACTACTGAGAAAGTTGAAACATGCACAGAAGTCAAGTACTGTGGAGCTGATGTTGAGTATTGTTTGTCTTCAGGTTATTTTTAAACAGTCTTTAATACAGTCATTGCCTAGATTTTGTTGTGTGGTTTTATTCCACTGTTTGGTTTGAAACTGCACTGAATGTTGATTGCAGCAGCAGGTCATGGCACCCCAGCATAAACTGGGTGATAAACATTTGCTCTAGGAGCAAAGCACTGGCACTGTCTCAGAAATCTGTAGTTCCATATAGCTTACATAAATAAAATCTCTCCTTCTGAAATACCACTTCTTTCTATTTATTTGCTATAAAAACAAATTATAAAATTATATATATTTAAAAAACATTAATTGTGCAGATGCTGGCTTTGTTGGATGCAGTAAAAATGGCTTAACTATCCAAATACCAGTCAAATAGTCAAAAGTCATTTTGACCATGGACTGTTTAAATACTAATCAGCTTACTAGCAACTACAGTTACTATTCAATAAATACTGAAAAATAGTACATTTTAATTGAGATTTGCTCACCTGCATAATTTTTTTCTGGGTTTTTTGTCAAAACATAAAATGGCAAACAGACATCTCTATATTTTGCTTTGACACACCGTAAAGCAAAGAAGAATCACTTTTTCTCTCAATGTAGGGTAAATATTAAGACCATGCCCACTTTTCAAAGCCTCTGTTTCTAAAGAAGTTACAAGTCTATATTTTATACGATATCAACTGGGCACAACAGCCACATTTACATGCAGCCTAATAATCCATTAATAATCTGACTAATAGCTCAATTGGAACAGAATACATCCATGCATACACTTCAATCGGAGTGCAATTTCTATCCGATTGAACGAGATGGGTAATCCTGTAAATAATCTGTTAAATAGAACAATAATAATCATGTAGAGAATAATAATCTGAAAGTTTAAGTATGTTCTGATCATGTGCGTCACGTCATAGTGAAAGTTTATAATGTTCAACATGGCGGAGCAGAAACTGGTCTGCAGAGGAGACGAAGTTTATGCTCTGATCTTTAAAAGACGGCGGTGGGACGGACGTCCAGCTTATGTGTCTCAGAACACGATGTCTTCCTCTCGGCCTTCTTTAATAAGGACATGTGAAGAACGTTTTTCTGCCATAAGTAGTAATTAAAAACACCATAAGTAATTAAAAACACAAGCGTGCCCCTGAAAACTCGTCTCTCTCTGACTGGGACCTCACGTGATGCTCGCTGTCACGGTAACGTTTACACTAAGCGGTTCTCTACGTACGAGCATCATTTTGGATCAGATTACTTGTAGTGTGCATGTAAACGGAGATCTTCATTAGATTGTTGAGTAGAGTGAGAATATAAACACCTTAGTCTAAATCTGTTTTTGGAATCGGATTGGCAAAAATCTTTGCATGTAAACACAGCCAATGACGTTATTCCTAAAAGTAGTAGAAATCCAAGTAGGTCAACTAAGGAGGCCTTCATTCACATGCACTGCTTCTAATGCCCATCCCTTATACTGTGTGCATGTATATATACACATGAGCATATGTGCGCGAGTTGTGTGCGCCTCACCGGTGAGGTCAGTGCCCTCGGGGAAGAGAAGCAGCTGCAAAGGTTCCCTGATATCGCAGAAGTACTCCAGCATATTTTCCATGTGGCTACGATCCTCCTCCCATCTCCTCTGGATGAAGATAAATGAGGCCACCTGCATCGCCCATCCTAAATAAGATGCACAAAACACGAGGAAACATCACTGTAATGACCAGGATCACAAGAACAATCTTCCTCTTACCCCAAACACACTCAACCACCCAAGACATGTTTGGTGTTTTTGGCACTGAAGCTATAAGGCTAGTGTGGGTCAGCCACGAAAACCCATGAGCAGTGAAGAAGGTGACAAGTTCAGAGACTTATTCTCCTCTAGAGGAATCAGGCAGCATCATTCCTAGGAGACAAATTTAGCACCCAAATTTTCATGCTTTCTGGTGCACTCTGAGACTAATACACAGGGGTAACTGCTGTAGAAATATTTAATTCATTCAGTCGGACAACAAGGCGAATACAAATTTTAGAGGCCATTCTCTGAGAGAAGGATTGAACTCTCAGAATGACCAGCTGGCAGCAGACACCCCTGACCCTCTCAAAACTAAAAACTCAAAATCTACACAAGGTTTGACCAACAATCATACGAATGGCATGTTTATCATTCAAAACCGTGAATTTTGCCAAATGGTAAATAAGTAAAGGAAGCTAATACTCAACCAATTAGCATTGTGCTAACTGCCCGCCTACATCATTACATACCACCCACATCAAGCAATAAAAGCATCCTGAAGCCTGAATTTTGTCCACACTTTCGTCCATTTTCAAATTTTTGGGGTACTGGGAGAGTTTTGATTTTTCAGCAAAATGTCTATCATCTAAAATGTGTGTCAGTAAGATTTACAACGCAATGCAAAACAGGTAACATGATAAAACGGAAGGATAAGAGTGTGTGTGGTGTGTTTATGCATATTATGTGTTGGGAGGAAGGAGCTCACCCACCAAAACCAGGCACCGCTTTGAGGGCAACTTTCAGGCAGATCTTCTCCAGGCGGAGGTAGCTGTACCTCAGCAGACAGCACCACAGAAACATCCAGTCCAGCCGAGTGCGATGGTTCATTATAATCACACTGCGCTCCCCCGGCACAAAGCCATCGCCTGTTATAACCACCTTCACTCCAAACACCACCTCCAACAAAGCCTGGAGAGAGAAGGAATACACAAACATCACTCAGTCACATCAAAAATTTTGGGTGCACCTGGATCTGCATCTGGCAGACGCTCTTATCCAGAGCGACTTACAATTTGATCATTTTACACAGGTAGGTGAAGGTAGTGTTAGGAGTCTTGCCCAAGGACACTTTTTGGTATAGTGCAGGCGGTTTGTCCAAGTGGGGGATTGAACAGAGGTGTTACCCACTACACTATACCAACCACACCACACAAACCATAAAAACCACCAGTTTTAAAACCAAATTGCAACCACCTGACACACTAAATAGATATTGCTGTTTAGATTTTGCCATTTTACTTTGCAAAAACTGTACAAGTCAAGGATTCAGCAAACAGATACTGGTAATTATTTCTTCCCAATTAAAAAGTAATAGTGAAGACCAAACACTACTTGGAAAATTTCAAAAGAAGGCAAGTTGTCAAGCTTTTGAAGGGCAGTGTACGTAGTGCTGGGCACTAAGGAGCAGATTTACTGAAAGAGGTGCTAAATAGTGACAGTCTAGAACTTTCATGCAAATAAACACAGTTGCAACCTCGTAATTAACATATAAGCAGCACAATGTAAACCCGTTTCGCTCCAATCCTTTTTGTTTGGAAGCTTTCTTTGGATTTCCAAAGGGGAAAAAAAAAATTCTAGTCCTATGTGAAAAAGTATAAATATTCTGAGATAATAAGTAAATACTTTGAGAAAATAATACATTAATTCAACATACACAATCAAAATATTGAGAAAATAAATAAATTTCAACATACATGATCAAAATACTGAGAACATAAGTCATTATTTCATCAAAACAATTCAAAGAGATCCAATATAAGCCAATATTTGACATATTATTGAAAGGATTTCTGTTAAAAACTGGCCTTCATTTTGTTGGAAGGATGTCTCTGAGCAACACTGTCAGTCATGTTTGTGCCAAAATAAAACAAGCTTTTCTCAGGTGTTCAATAGCACGCATCATCAAATCAGTATTTACAGTATTTATCAGCTTTAGTAAATCAGAGTAGGTGCTTCATCATAATAATATTTAACAACAGTATTTTGAGCTTTGAGAAATAAATTCCCATAAAAGCACACACAATGAGGCAAAAGTGCAAAATCATATTAATTGATGTTATTAGTTACGTTTATGGGCCGTTGCATCTATAACAGTAAAGTGTCAGTCACTTTTTACTGCCAAAAAACAGTTTTGTGCAAAACATAAGTAGATCTGCCCCCCAGACTATTAGTCTGGCTTTACAGGAAGGTCTTTATGCAAATATGCTCTTGTTTGGTCAACTTGGGTTGTAATCAGAATGTGTAACGAACTGAATTCTATGGGAGTCAGCGGTTTTGCTGGTTTCTAAAAATATAGTCTTTTCTGTTTAAACAGGAAACGATCTGAAAGTCATGCTGGATGATATCCAGTTCACAAGCGGATATACGGGTTTCTCTATGCAACAGTATTTTGGCTAAACAGAAGCTCCTCTTTTTACATGTTAAACATGTTATACATTCAGGTTTCAGCACGAGTGTACAGTGTCACATGACGTTGTCACGTTTATTCTTTCCTTATATTACACTATATATGCTACAGGCCAAATATTTGGAAGCAACACCAACTTTGTAGAAATACAATTTGTTATTTTCCTATAAGATAATATATAGTAACATGTTTATTAACACAAAAAGGGTTTTTTCCTAAACGCCTGTTGAAGTTGTGTGTGCAAATTGCTTTGGTTTAAAACAAGAGGTCAATAAACACATACTTGGCTAACTGATGGACACTGAATTGGAAAATATTTATGAAACTTAAAAAAAAAAAAACAAGCATCATTGTATGCTTTTATACTTTCGTACAGTTGTATGCAAAAGCTTGACCATCCCTGGTCAAAACGATGAAGGGAACATGATTTTTATTTATTTCCTGGGAAAAAAATAAACATTCAAAATAAAATGTGCCCTACCAATTGTTTAATTTCAAGGTAATTTAAATATAATGTAATTTAAATGTGTCCTAGAATACGTTAAATAAAGCAAATAAACAGTAACTGTGTATTAAAGTGTGTTGTCTGTGGAAGATGTGTTCACTCAGATTTACTTTTAATCTGACCAGGGGCACCAAAACTTTGGCATACCACTATATTTTTGTGCCTAAAAAAGCCAAGAAAAAGCTGCAGTAGATTATTGGTGCACTACAGTGCTGATCTAATGAGCGATGAAGATGAGAACATACCACAGGCAGGGTCAGCCAGGTTGCCACGATGCGGTCAGTAAGCCAGCGGTACCAAGCGGGGGACAGCAGCATCAAAGGCAGCACTGGACCCAGCATAAAAATACTGCCGAAGAAGCTGCCCAAGAACAGAGTGACCACAAAATAGAGGCCGCGTACAGAAACCATCGCCATGCCTGGGAAACTGAGAGACGCAGAAAAAGAGATTTTGGTCAGTTTTGCTCATCATTTTTTTAACACTGATCAGAGAAAGAACTGGACGAGTGGGCCGATGGAGCCGGGAGCACAGGCTGATTTGGAAAAACCTTTGGGTGAATTGATCCACGGAACAAATGGAAAACCAGTAACAATGACTGGATTCCTTTATTGGACAATAAGGCAATGTGCACAAGATCTATTTTTCTTCTGTTTTTTTTAGGTGACCAGACAGATTATCCAAACAAATTAATTGCGATTGTGCTTAATAAATAAATCTCTGAATGATTCTATTTGATATGATTCCTTAGTAAATGATTCACAGCATCATGAAATACCAAACTATCACAATCCAACTAATCAGATTCAGAATTGTTTTTAAAAACACAGTGAATATAAAAGATGAAAGACAATATTTACACAGCAGAATATAGAATAAAAACAAAAACCAAACATTTTTGGGACTTTTTTTCTATATAATAATTGAGAAATTTGGCTAGTCATTCATTTAATTTCCACTTACTTTAAACAAAATAAATTAAAAAAAGGCAACCGACATCTAAGGCCCAATCCCATTTCACTGATCGCCCCTACCGCTTAGCCCTTACCCCTCCGTTTTGCATGTTCATGTGTAGGGGTGGGGTGTCCCGATTTTTGTTGAGATAGAAGGGTAGGGCGCACAGGCAGAGGCGCACTTCAAACTGAATGTTATGAGACAAACACAAAAAACGGCAAGATGGCTGCGCAAGCGACCAAAGAAACGTGAGAATTTTCGTCATGAGAAAAATGTGGTGACTGCTGTATTATCCAAGCTTAATGGCATTTTAATGTATTATGGTCCTTTTCTTCACAACAAGCATAAAAACAGCTAGTAGTGTGTCTTGTTAGCTAGCTAAACCCGTTCTTGTTCAAATTTTCCCGTTCTGCCTTAAACGGTGCAGCAGTTCTGATGCCTGAGGCGCCAGAATGTAACTGTTGCTCCATTTAAGGTGGAACGGGAAAATTCAAACAAGAAGCTGGTGAATAGCTGACTTTTTCACAAGAATTAGGGGTGGGCGATAATAAATAATTGCCCCCCTCTTTGAAGGCATATGATTCCCTAAATGTAACTAAAGCCCAGCAGTGAGGAGCTGAAATTTACCCTCCTCTGCTATCACTGCGGACTGGCAGGGTCGCCTACAGAGCAGCTCTAATAGCTGTTAATGAAGTAATGCTCTTTTTATTTGAGGGTCCCATTTCATAGGGAAGATTTCAACCACTACCCCTTGTAACTCGAAAACAAGGGGTAGGGGTAAAAATAAGAAATGGGATTGGGCCCAAGTCTCGAAGTGCAGACACACCATATACTGAAAAATTACCACAACATACTGGAGTACTAATCTAAAATAACAATATATATTTGTCGGCGACCAAATATTTATGAACCTGACTGTATTTCGTTGTGAAAGTGAATGTAATGTTCTATTAAACATATGTTTTCTGCTTTGTCCTCAGATGCTGAAACATGTATAACTTGTACTTATTGGCCACTTTGACTGGAATATATAAAAAAAAAAAAATGAATGGTCTGACTTTTGCACAGTACACACTTTACTGAATATTATCACAATCAATTCTAATATCCCAAAAAAATGATGTAGCTGAATAGGAACATCCGGTATGTTATCACCCCTATTTATCACACTCTAAAATTAGATTTAGGACAGATGGAGCCCTTGAACTTGGACACTAACGCACACAGTCGCAAACTCTGCAGCCCTTCAGTGGAGCTTTAAATATTTTCTGCAGTCTGTGAAGTAAAAAATAATGAGAACACAAAACAAAAAAAGTTAGTTAAAGGGCAAAGTCAAATATAACTCTGACGACGTGAAAAAGTGCAGCAGCAGCTCTACAGCTGATTTGCTGAGAGTGCATCAGGGACATTTGCTCAGCAGTGGACAGCTGCTCAATGTGCTCCATCTAGGGGACTAATTAGGGTCATTAAGGGTCTTATTTTCAGTTTACAGACTCAAACATATCTTGTGTATTTTGATTTTAACATGACCAGGCAGCACAGTTACTACTTACACATATGTGATTAACAATTGGTAAATATTAGGGTGGCACAATACGGACAAAGTGCTAGTGTGATAGGCCTCGCTATATATTACCACTGGTATACTGATAGTGTGAGATGGTTAAAGACTGGCCTGCATTATTTGGTCTAACATGCTGACCTCCAGTACAGGGCAAATCAGAGACCACCCTTTCATTTACAAGTTATCAATTTTTAACCATCAGAAAGAAAGAAAAAAAAATAACAGAAAATTTAAACAGAAGCCTCAACAACAAAATGTAATATTATTTACCATGTTGACTCTCTACCTCCATTACAGCTTTCATTCTTTTCAGAAGACTTGCTTTCAGCTATTTAAAAAAAATAAAAATAATAAAAATCTGCAGGGGTATTTTTTCACACCTCCAAAAGTTCAGTCTTACAAGTTGGCTGCATTTTCTGCTTCTTATGCCTTAAATGATCCCAAATACACATTTAGACTCATTCTCCACATCTCAGATGTCCAGTTTCAATGTTCTAGTGTGAAATTTCTTTTTCTCTTTTCTCATTGAGGGCTTCTTGACAGCTACACATCCTTTAGACCCTGAGAGCTGCATGGGGCTCTTTTACTGCCCTGTTGTGGCTCCACAGCAGAATCAGATTTGTAGGTAAAAATAAAATAATCCTCCTTTGCAGTAAAATAAAGCTCTGCTGGTCGTTCAACATAGTTTAACAGTAAATGGTCTTAAGTGGAGTTAATGTACAACTCCTAATTCACCCTTTAACCCTGAAGGTTGGCGTGCAGACTGCTGGTCACCATAGCAACGCAGACAACAATCTCACCTAGCGAGCAGCTAACAAAAAGGCAAAGAGAAAGATTTAAGATGAACATCCAAAATTTGGAGACAAATTGACTTATTTGACTCAAACAAGCTGAAGTCAGTTTCTCATTCACCAGCGTCTTGCTCACATTTTAACATTTCTCCTTAAATGGGCAGTTAAAGTCTGGCGTCCCAGGCACCACTTAAGGTGGATTGGGAAAATGACAAGAAGCTGGACGATGAACACTTCAATTTAAAATCATCAAATGTTGAGACATTTTACAAGAAACTGTTCTACTTTTGCAGAAAAGTTTCCTGCCGGAGATGCGAGAAAAGCAGCTATAGCTGAGCTAAAGCTTAAAGCAGAGCAAAGTAAGTCTGTGTTTTCATTATATTTAGCCTGTACTAGAACATCAGCACATACTGAGGCATATTTACAGCCAAAAAATGTTGTGGCTCCAAAGGTGGTTTGACTTTCGTGGGACAAAATGGCTCTTCTACACATTTGGGTTGCCAAACCCTGGGATTAGATTGCATCTAATCTCATCAGTAATATCACCTTCAGAAATCTGAGAAGGAAATTAAGGTGAATTTGGGTAGCTGCTTATATGAATGCGTGTCTCTTTGAAGAATAACAATGTCAGTGACTCTACTGGGAGCGGCTTTTGTTGAGAGAACACAGCTGTTTTAAGACTGGAAGTATGGAAAAGTTAAAGAGGCAGTAGAATGCATAAAAGTAAAAGAGCACAGAGACTAAATGCAAATAGATTTGTTGATATTATCCTTGGCAGTTATTGGCTTTTGCATAATAATATTAATCAGGCTAATTAAAGCACACAGTAAAGAACACAGACTGGCAGAAGGCTCATTTGCCTTCTGCAAAGGTCAATATCACAATAACGATTACCAAACATCAAACTGTGCAGCTGTGAGTAACACTTAATGCCATCATATTTTATAGGGTACAACATCCAGAGTGGAATTAAGAACAGTCATATTTTAAATCGCTGTCAAAAATATCTGACTATGTTTCAGCCCAAAGCTCTCCAAGAGGAGGGGCAGTGGCCAGTCCGGCTGGAGCTTAGAGTTAATCTTCTCCACTCTGTGATGTCAGTACGCTCTGAGTCATTACCGCAGCTTACGCTACTTCCATATCCCAGAGAACTCATTCGGACTGACCGCATTGTTTCCAACTATAACTCAATGCTTCAATGCGGTTTAGCCATGTCCTCATCCAGACAGCCCTTGCTGGAGCTGTCCATGAATAATACATAAACGTCACAACATCGCATTTTTTGCAGTGATACAACATATTTTTGATTTACATGTAAAAAAGAAATTCTAACATTCGTTTAGTCAAAGTCTTGTTGCCAAAACAAGCCATTTCAAAGGCACATACATTTAAAATACACAAAAACTGCAAATGGCATAGGGGACTTTTGTTTTCTGTGGTTATATTATTACTCTGGTGCCAAGCTGACATCAAACTTGTGCCAAAAATGCAACAGTGGCGGTAAAGAGTTAATTTAGTATCACAATCCTGTCTAGTAAGTGAACAACACGGCAACCAGCCCCGCGGCAGCTGCAGCAGCGCGACCGCCAGCGTGCTTCAAACGGAAAACATTTCGAAGCAAAAAAAACAAGTCTTTTCAAGCCAGAAACACATGGCAGTTTGTGTTTAAGGTGTGGTGAATTCAGACTGCCTTAAAAATCTAACCAGCGTGCTCAGAGACCTCCACTGTTAGAATGTTTAATCACTGTGTTTCTCTCCCTGGAGTTCGCTGGTTTAGAGTGGCTGCTGAGTGACTAGTTGTTGTGGGTTTCAATAATATAATTTAGAAACAAGCGATTATGCTTAAAGCCATTTCTGTCATTGCTGCTGTATTGAATTTTCATTAAGAATAGTCAAATTTTAATGCCACAGGTATTTTGGCAACATGACAATCTCTTTCAGGAATATTAAGGAGCGTGTTTGTGTGTGTTTTTTGTTTGTTTGTTTTTAAACAGAGCAGTAGAATCCTTTCCAATTCTGTGTTTCCTTTAAGATTTTTTTTTTTAATAGCGGTCAGACCCAGGTCAGACCCCACGCCCCCCCGGACTGGGTCAAGACCACCCCTCCTTTAACCCCCCCCT